CACAAGCCAAGAAAGTACTAAACACACCTCTCCTTAGATCACAGCACCTTGGAAAAACTGAAAACTTACAGGTCCCTAGAAGTAACTCTGAAAACAGCTGCTCAAAACCCCTGACACTTGATACAGTGTGCCATAGAGCTCCACTTTAACAAAGAGTTAAGTCAAGAAATAGACTGGAAAATGAGCAAACAATAGAAGAAAATATGGACCACAGAAAGTTACTATGATGACAAGGAAAACCAAAACACAAAAACAAAGGAAAAAAAAGAAGAAAATCAAAACACACACTCAGAAGAAAACTAAGTCAAAGCTCCAACATACAAAGCCTCCAAGAAAAATATAAATTGGTCTCAGGCCCTGGAAGGGCTCAAAAAGGATTTTGAAAACCAAGTAAGAGAGGTAGAAGAAAAACTGGGAAGAGAAATGAGAGTGAGGCAAGAAAAATCATGGGGAAAAAAACAGCTTGGTAAAGGAGAAACAAAAAAAATACTGAAATAACAACTTAAAAAACAGAATAGGCCAAATGGCTCAAAAAAGTCAATGAGGAGAAGAATGCCTTGAAAAGCAGAACTGGCCAAACTGAAAAAGAGGCACAAAAATTCACTAAAGAAAAAAAAACTCCTTAAAAAGTAGAATTGGACAAATGGAAAAGGAGGTACTGAAGAAAATAATTCCTTCAAAATTAGAATTGAACAAATGGAAGGTAATGACTTTATAAGAAATCAAGAAACAATAAAACAAAGCCAAAAGAACGGGAAAAAATAGAAGACAACGTGAAATATCTCACTGGAAAAACAACTGACCTGGAAAATAGATCCAGGAGAGATAATTTAAAAATTATTGGACTACCTAAAAGCCATGATCAAAAAAAGAGCCTAGATATCATCTTTCAAGAAATTATCAAGGAAAATTGCCCTGATATTCTAGAACCAGAGGTAAAAAAGAAATTGAAAGAATCCACCGATCACCTCCTGAAAGAGATCCCAAGATGAAAACCCCCAGGAATATTATAGCCAAATTCCAGAGCTCCCAGGTCACATCAAAGTGAGAATATTACAAGCAGCCAGAAAGAAACAATTCAAGTACCATGAAGCTGTCACAGGATGACACAAGATTTAGCAGCTTCTACACCAAAGAACTGGAGGGCTTGGAATATGATATTCCAGAGGGCAAAAGAGTTAGGATTACAACTAAGAATCACCTACTCAGCAAAATTGAGTATAATCTTCAGAGGAAAAATGACTTTCAAATACAAGACTCAAGAGAAGCATAAAGAGGTAAACAGGAAAGGGAAATCATAAGGGACTTAATAAGGTTAAACTGTTTACATTCCTACATGGGAAGATGATACTTGTAACACTTTCTTGTTATTAAAGTAGTTAGGAGTATATATATAGACAGAGGGCACAGATGTGAGTTGAATATGAAGGGATGATATCTAAAAAAATTAAATTAAGGGGGGAGAAAGAGGAATTCACTGGGAGAAAGGGAAAGGTAGGGAGGGGTAGAATGGGTTAAATTATCTCACATAAAAGAGGCAAGAAAAAGATTTACAGTGGAGGGGAAGGTGGGGGAGTTGTGGGGGAGTTAATGAACCTTACTCTCATCAGAACTGGCAAAAAGAGGGAATAATATACACACTCAAATGGATATAGAAATCTATCTTGCCCTACAGGAAGGTAGGACTGGAAGAGGATAAAAGAGAGGGAAGGGGGTGACAGAATGGAAGGTAGATGGGGAAAGGTGGAAGTCAGACACAAAATATTTCTGAGGATGGACAAGGTAAAAGGAGAGAGAGAATAGAATATATGGTGGGGAGGAGAGGATGGAGGTAAATACATTTAGCAATTGCAACTGTGAAAAAATTTTGAAGCAAATTTCTCTAGTAAAGACCTCATTTCTCAAATATATAGAGAACTGAGTTTAATTTATAAAAATAGAATAAATGATCAAGAGATATAAATAGTTTTCAGATGAAGTAATCAAAGCAATCCATAGCCATATGAGAAGGTGCTCTAAATTGCTACTGATTGGAGGGATACAAATCAAAACAATTCTGAGGCACTACCTGGCTAATAGGATTGGCTAACAGGATAGGAAAGGAGAATGACAAATGTGGGGAAAATGAGACATTAATACACTATTGGGGGAGTTGTGAACTGATTCAACATTTTGTGGAGCAATTTGGAGCTATGCCCAAAGGGGCTGTAAAACCATGCATGCCCTTTGACCTAGCAGTGCCACTACTAGGTCTATATCCAAAAAGAGATTAAAAAACAAAGGAGAAAAGGACCTGAACATGCAGAAATATTTATAGCAGCTCCTTTCTGGTGGCAAGGAGTTGGAAACTGGGTGGATGCCCATCAGCTGGGGAGTGGTTGAACAAATTATGCTATGTGATTGTGATGGAATGCTATTTTGCTATAAGAAATGATAAGCAGGATGCTCTCAGAAAAACCTAGAAAGACTTACATGGGCTGATGTAAAGTTAAATGTACTGCATACAAAGTAATAGCAATATTGTAAGATGACTTAGCTATTCTCAACAGGACTATGATACAAGACAATTCTGAAGGACTTATGATGAAAAATACTATCCATCCCCTGAGAAAGAACTGATAGTGTCTAGACACAGGTTGAAGCATACTTTTTTCAACCTTCTTTTTCTTGAGTTTTTTTTGGTCTGTGTTTCTTTTACAACATGACTAATGTGGAAATATGTTTTGCATGACTACACATATATACACATATAATCTATACTGAATTACTTGCCTTCTCAATGACGGGAGTGGGGAAGGAGGAAGAGAGAATTTGGAACTCAAAATTTTAAAAATGAATGTTGTTTTTCGTTTTGTTTTTTTTTGTTGTTGTTCTAGGCAATGGGGTTAAGTGACTTGCCCAAGGTCACACAGCTAGTAAGTGTTATGTGTCTGAGGCCGGATTTGAACTCAGGTCCTCCTGAATCCAGGGCCGGTGCTCTATCCACTGCACCACCTAGCTGCCCCCAAAATGAATGTTAAAAATTGTTTTTACGTGTAATTGGGGAAAAATAAAACATTAAGAATTTTTAAAAGTAAAAAAAAAAGCAGGGAAAAGAGAAAGGGACCAGGTTAGAGCTTTGGGAGACATCCAAAGATGGCAGACACAACCTGGATAAAGATCTACTAAAGGAGACTCAGAAGGAATGGTCAGACCAGGTTGGAGAAGAACTAGGAGAGAACAGTGTTGTGAAAACCTAGAGAGAAGACAGTATCAAGGAAAAGAGGGTGATCAACAGTATCAAAGGCTGTAGGAAAGGTCAAGAAGAATGATGGTTGAGAAAAAGTCGTTCAATTTGGCAATTAAGAGATCACTGGCAACTCCAGGCCACACCCTTTATCCCAGTCATTCCACTACTAGGCATATATTCCAAGGAGCTCATTGATAAGAAGAAAGTCCCCAGGTATATCAAAATATTCATAGCAGTACTTTTTGTAGTACCAAAGAACTGGAAACAAAGAAGGTGCCCATCAACTGGGGAAAACACTGTGGTACATGAATGCAGATGGAACATCACTGTACTTAAGAAATGATGACTATGAATACAGAGAAGCACGGAAATATGGAAGGACTTACATGAACCAAAGCAGAACTAAGAAAACAACATACACAATGACTACAATTTAAATGGAACTAACAAGAACTAAGGCAAATGAAAGAGACTATTACGGAATCACAAAGAACAAGCATAGCCCCAAAGAAAAGCTATAAGAAGGCACTTTCCTCAACTTCTTTGCAAATGCGGGAAAATCCCCAGATGGGGAACATTGAAAATATTATCAGAGTTTTCTGATGTGCTGATCAATTTTGCAGATCTTCTCCCTCTCTTTCTTAAAAAAAATTCCTTGTTATACAGAATGGTTTTCCGGAAGAAGGGAGGAAAAAATTAGGTGATGTACAAAGAAACATATCAATAAAAGAAACCCGGTACTTGGTGTCTGAGAGAACAGACTATTACAAGGGTTCAAGTGAGAAGTGAGGAGAGTCTGAACTAAAGTGGTTGCTATGTTAATGAAGGGAAGAGCTGGTTGCAAGAGATGGAGAGGGGGAAAAAGAGGAAGAAAGGGAGATATTCCTAAAGCTCAGTTCTGAGACTGCCTCTCCCTTGCTCAAGAAGCTCCAATGGCTTTTAATTGCCTCTATGATAAAATACAAATTCCTCTGACATGTAATGGCTTTGGCAATACAGCTCCTTTCCCCTCCCCCCCCTTACACACTGCTTTTTATTTACTCAGTGTTTCTCACATATAACATTCCATCTCCCATCATCACACCTTTTCACCTAATGCCCCCCTGACTGGAAGGCACTCTCTTTTCATCTTAAATTTAAAGACTCTCTCACTTTCACCAAAGGTCAGCTCAAGTATCACTTCCATCACGAGACCTTTCCTGGCAATTGCTAACGCTTTCCCCATCCCACTTGCCTCCCTCAGAAATTACTCTGGACATATTCTGAATTTACTCTCATGGTTCACGTTGTTTTTAACAGCATGCAGACTCTCTGAGGACAAGGACTGCTTCACCCTTGCTTTCATGTTTGTGGCACCTAGCACACTCTGCCCAGTGGACAGTAGGAGCTTCACAGACGCCTGCTGAATGCAGGAGACAATCTCACTGAAGGGGTTTCTGGCTGGTGCCTCAGTCTCATCATTTCTAAAATGAAGGGGTTGGACCAGATCATCTGGGAGGTCCCCTCCAACTCTGTATCTATGTATGCATATTAGGAAGGATCAACTATTTTTTCTAATGGTATTTTTTTTAAATGCTGAAATTAGATGAACATTTATTGGCTGTTGAATGTTTTAAGTTTTCCATTAGCTCCATTTTAGCAACAGCTATTCCCAAGCAAAAGATTTAATGTAAACAAAGCATCTCTTACTGCTTACCTGTGTCACTGGAGAATGGCTTCTCTCCTCAGCCAACCTTTTTTCCCTACAGTGGGATTATTTCTCAATACTCACACTGCCTGTTCCTCCAGCTCCCCACCAATGCACTGTGACATGTTCTTCAGCACCCCAATGCTGCCAGAGACCAGCTCCAACTGCTCGTCCTGCTGTTCCACGATCAACTAGGGCCAAAGGAACAGTTAAGCCAATTACAACCTACCTCACCTGGTCCCGAGCCCAGCCCTCTAGCAGCTGCTATCTGCTCTGCCAACCTCAGATGGATGAAGTTCAGAAGCAAAGATCAAAGATCAGGGGGGCTCAAATCTCTCTTCCCCAGGAATGGATTGTTAAGCTACCAGTATCACCTGCTTATCCCTATGTGAGTACAAATCAGCAGGGCCTCAATGAAAAAGACCTTCATCAATGGGCTGAAGCAAGTTATGAGTCTAGCTGCAGAGTTTAAATATTACCCAGGAGGACAATGTGAAGGATCGATAAATAACAGGGGCTTTGGGGAAGAGGTGGCCCCTTGTTCGAAGAATGTACTTAATCAATGCCAGAATGGGGGGAATATTGCAGAGCAAATGCCAGATTCTAGCAGCTGTGTGTGGTCACAAGGGCAAACAAAGCATTTCCCTTTTTCTCCATGGACAAACTATTGGTTCCACAACACTTACAAGTTGCAATGACACCCCTGGCTACTAGTCTAACTTTTTTTTCCATTTTAAAACCATAATCTTTCCATATTTGTCTTTTATCAGTTTAATGGCTATCAATAGTAAATCAAGTACCTAAACTGGTTAAGCCAACTCATGAATAGCAACTAATAAAGCCCCATAACTCATGTGTGCATAAAACACAAATTAAGAAATAATCTTTCAAATGTAAGTGTAATCCAAACCTGACTTACTAGCAATCAATTTTTTCTAAGTGTGCAACTGCACTGAAAAAAGCAAGATGCATATGGTGAGCTGAGCTTTCCTTCTATTCCTTTTCTCTTCCCTCTCTCCCCACCCCCTTAAAGGATCTATCATTTGAATACACAATGGTACCAATGGATAGCTTTTCAATACAGAAACAAGAACTCAATTTTTCTAAGAGTGCCTTTGTCTAAATGAACAAACAGCCGAGTAGCTGAGTGGGGGTTATGAAGGAGGTTTTCTTTTTAAATGCACAGCCTTGTCTCTTATTTCTGGATGTCTGGCCTGCTTTTCAAAAGAGCTATAAGCAATCCCAGTCCTCTGAAACAGAGGAGCACACTAAAAGCGGCTTTACACCCTTTAACTACAATTATACATCAAGAAAACAGTGCCATGGACCACAGGAAAAGAGCTAGTCAGAGGTTCACGTGCCACCAAGATGGCCAACATGGTGGCTATTAACTAGAGGAAGCTAAGTGGGATTTTGCTGTCCCTCATTCTTCCCTTTTCTCAATTAATCTGGAGGCTCTCTGGCCACATACCTGTTGCTGGGCCTGCTGCTCCTCAATGAAGTGGGCATTAGCACGTTGCAGCTCTCGATCAAGACGGCCATACTTATCTGCTCCAGAGCTCCAACTCTGACCACCACTTTCTCCTAGCAGTGCCTAGGCAAACAAAAACAAGAGGATTCAGAACAGAACAGAAAATTTGTATGTCTCCAAGTTGTTAAAGTGTCATGGTGCTCTAGAAATCATTCTGAATGAAATATTTTCAGCTCTCTTCTGCAACAGGCCTGCTGCCAATATAAGAATTTTTTTCACAATTTTTTTTACTTGTTTAATCAGCATAGTTTCCACCTCCTTTCCCTTCCCCTAACTGAGAACACAAGAAAAAGAAAACCCTTTACAAACATGCAGAATCATTCAAAACAAATTTCCACAATGGTCATGCCCAAAAATTATCTGTTGCATTCTGCATTTTGAGTCTTTCACTTCTATATCAGGACGTAGGCAACTGTTCCATCATAAGTCTTCTGAAATCCTGGTTGGACATTCCACTAAGAGTTCATTTGTACACTATAACTTGTTCATCTACTCTCCAATTTACATGCACTCCTTCTGATTTCCATACTGTGCCCCCCCCAAAACGAAAGTTATAAATATTTTTGTACATCCTTAGTTTGTTTTGCTTAGAGCTAATTCTTTCCTAATTACTCTAATTCTCCCTCCCCACTTCTTCCTCTTTCCTGCTCTCTGCCTGCTATGTGAAATAATCTTTGTAGTCGTGTGTGTGTGTGTGTGTGTGTGTGTGTGTGTGTGTGTGTGTGTGTGTGTGTGTTCTTCCTTCTTCTGACCTCTTCAGGTGAGAGTGAGGTTCAAGTGTCAGCCACTCCCCTCAACCCTCTCCCTGTTTGTATAGATAACTACTTACGCACCCCTAACTATATGAGCTAATTTTCTCTATTCTTCCTTTCCCTTCTTCCCTTTTCCCCTAGCATATTCCTCTTCTCCTCTGTTTCTGTTCTTTTCTTAAGATCATCAAGACACAACGGAACCACTTCCAAGCTAATTCCTTCTACGAACCCTAACGATGCAAGGGTTCAGAGGGGTACGTAGATCATCTCCCCATATCTGAATGTAACTAGTTTATCCTTGATTAGTCCTTTATCATTGTTCATTAGCATGTTCTTTTTTAATGCTTTTCTTCAGTGCTGTCTGAATTTCAAAGTTTTTCTGAAGCAGTGGTCTTTCCATCAGGAATCCTTGGAAGTTTCCTATTTCATTAAAGAGCCATTTCCCACCCCATTTAATATGACACTCAGTTTTGCTGGTTAAGTCACTCTCAGCTGCCCATATTCTTTACCTTCCGGAATGCTGCATTCCAAATTTGCTGCTTTCCAGTGGTAGCTGCTAAATTATGTGTGACTCTCATTCTGGCTCTTTGGTCCTTGAATTCTTCCATTCTGGCTTTGACCTGGAAGCTCTGGATTTTGGCTGTGATGTTCCCAGGAGTTTTCATTTGGGGGTTTCTTGTAGGAGGTAACTGGCAGATTCTTTCTGTTTCCATTTCACCTTCTGGTTCTAAGAGATATGGGAAGTTTTCTTTTAAGATTTCTTGAAATAAGATGGCCTGGAGTTCATGTAGTCTTTGTTGTTGTTCAGTTGTTTTTTAGTCATGTCTGACCCTTCATGACTCTGGGGTTTTCTTGGCAAAGATACTGGAGTGATTTCCCATTTCTTTCTCCAGCTCATTTTACAGATGAGGAAACTGAGACAAACAGGGTTAGGGACTTGCCCAGGGTCACAGATTAGCATCTGAGGCCATATTTGAACTCAGGAAGAGGAGTCTTCCTGATTCCAGGTCAGATACTCTACCCACTGCCCTCCTAACTGCCTTCATATAGTCTAGTGATTCTTAAATTTTTTTCCCTTGACCCATTTTCCAGGTCATTTGTTTTGCTATTAGAGACACTACATTTTCTTAGCTTTTTGATTCAGTTTTAATATTTCTTGATCCTTCATGAAATCATAGGCTTCTATTTGGCCCATCTGAATTTTCAGGGAGTTTGCTGCCTGGAAAAGGTTTGGAAACTCTTGTTACTGTTAATTCTCTTTCCAATTCTCTCATCCATATCTCTCTTTCTTCTCAATTTTTTTCCCAAAAAACTTTCATTCCATTTGTAAAAACTATCTCTCTCTCTTTTAACTCTTGCTTCATCTCTTCCAAGAATTCTACTATGTCTTCGTGGCCAAGGTATGTTTTTCTCTGAGGCACTGCCAGTAGATGTTTGGAGTCATTCTCTTCTGCGTCTGTGCCTTGAGCACCCCTGCCACCAACAACAGCTCATCATGGCAGGTTCCTTTTTGTGTTTGCCCATTCTTGACTCTAGATTTGATGTTAGGGCTGAGCTCTGGCACACTTCTGGAGGGATGGCCTGTGCTGGTCCTGTTGCTGTTTTCTTGGGTTACTGAGTGTTATACTATTCTAGGATCTCAGGGACAGGTTTGGACTTAAAAGGCATCAATACTCCCATCTTTAATTCACACTGCCCATTTCTTTCCAAATAATTCCTTTTACTAGGATTTAAGGAACTTTTAACATAAAAAGTCTGATTAGAAGCAGTTGAAGGTCTATAGTGCTTCGGAGCCAGCTTCCACATGGCTTGGGGTGAGAAGGAGGAGACAGGGATTGCAGAGAGGACTGTTGAGCCCCTGGTGGGTGGGAGACTCATGCTCTCTGATGACAGGGGTCTTCTGGGATTCATTTTAGTTTTTTCATGACATCACTTGGAAGGGGTATTTAATCATTATTAATAATTAATTCTTCAGTGTGAATTAATTTGTCAGATTATATGAATGTGACAGCTCTCAGGACAAATTTTTATAGGAAATAGAATGAAAAAAATAGATCCATGGTAAGGCAGGCCTGAAAGGGGTACCAAAGCCAGGGAAGAGCCCTTGGGTTATGGCCACTTGAAGGGTGAGGATGAAAATAGAAAAAGAGAGAGAAGGTAGAAGAAAAGCACACTGATGACAGGGCAAGGATTAAATATTCCCAATATTTTTAGAACCAACCTTGGCCTTAAATTTTCTCTCAAAGTTGACAGAAAATGAGGACCAGATGCCTTAAATTGTCAATGAATGCTAAGAAAGGAACCTACATACACACCATTTTATTTACCTTTTGTTTTCTAGGGACAGTTTATCTTTTTAAATTAATACTTTCCAAATTAATTTTATTTATCAACTATTTAACAATAGTTGATTTTCTCTCCTCACCCCCCCCCCATTGAAAAAGGAAAAGAAAAACAAAATGCTTGTAACAAATATACATTATCAGGTAAAATATAGTCCTACACTGATCAGGTCTCAAAAACATGGAGAAACAGTTTATCTTTTTAAAAATATGTAATGTTATTCTTTTTCAATTCCCTGAAGTAAGACTACGGAGCTACAAGCTAAGGATGGCTCAGAGATGAGCTAAAGAAAATACAACCTTGTACAATGGTGAAGATTCAGATTTTTCCCTATTGCTCTAAAAGCTAATGGTGACTCCTTTAACAAATACCAAGACTGAAACAACAAATACCAAGTTACTGAATTAAGGCAAAACTTAAATCAAATAAAATTATGAGGATATATACGTGGCCTACCATCATCACAACTGTTTCAGGTATTGTTATTCAACTTCCTCTAAAATGAGACTGAAATGAAAAACAAAATGAAAGAGGAACTCCAAAAATAGCCTCGTTATGGCTATTCACTGGCTTCAAGAGCTGCTCCAGAGTTCAAGGGAAAAATTGCAGCATGTAAAGGTAGAGAGGAAAAATAATAACTATCTTGAAAAATAGATTTTTAGACTGCAAAACATATGAATGAAATCAAAATTTTAAATGACTGTTCTGAAAAGGTTAACATCTCCTCTCACTAAGGTATAATATTAGCTTTTTCAAAAATAAAAGGAACCTACAAGTTCCTATGAACTACAGTACAAGTAACCTATAAGTTACAATTCTGCAAGGATTTAATATCTAACTCTATTACATAAACTGGACTAATGAGCCAATTTGACTCAAATAACCCTTTTGAGAATCAAGAAGCTGCCAAAAGGACTATTTTACTTTGAAATAATCTTTTATGACAGATTTAAGGTAAGTCATTTAAATCAAACGATATCTTTTCACTAATATTTGTAGTTCCTGGTCCTAGGCAAAATAAAGTATTACCTAAAATTGACAGAAATAAATATAGTATAATAAATGGGATAGCAGTAACCGAATATAATCCTTCCCCAAAAAATTAACCCCAAAGTACACCTGTCATATACTGAAAGAATATGAAAGGGTACCATATTCTTGTTGGAGCTAGAAAAAGGTTCTACCTTCTATATACCAAAACACTCACTTTAGTTTAACTTTTCATTTGTATTAATATTTTTTGCTTTTTCATCTTCTTCATTTAAGAATTTGCTACCCTACCTCACCCACCTCACACCAGCCATCCCACCTAGCAAGTGGGGTAGAAAGTGTGTGTATACACGTGTTACATGTTACAACAAAAAAAAGGAGATGTGTTTGTGGTTCTGTTACAACAAAAAGTGTATGTATGTGTGTGTGTTGGGGGGCTTGGGGAACAGTTCAGCAAACTAACATGTTGCCTGAATTTTCAATCCCCCCACTTTTCCAAGGAGTGGATGAGAAGTACAAAATGCCTATTTCATTATAGTGCTTAATGGGGAAGACCATTTCATTTAACACAAGTATATCAAAACCTCACAAAATTTTTAATAGCAAAATACAAGGGAGAAGTCTGATAGTAAAACTTTCAGTGAATTCTAGGAGTTATTGCATTATTAGTTTACACACATTCATCTACTCTCAGAAAACATTAAAAGCTGCATTAAGTCAGCAAGTACTGACTTAGAATACCTAAATTTCACCTACCTTGGGCTATTTTTGGATACAATATATCATCTTTTTCTTACCTGTCTATTTTTTCTTTCAGCTAATGCCTGAACTGACGAACTCGACATCTGATCCTTCATTTCCTATGCGGAAACAGGATATAAAAAGGGGGCCAAAAAAAGAAAAATTTATTAGCTCAAATGAAAAATTGTTGTCTGATATTTAGGTCATTCACAATTTTTTTCACCAATAGAAGAAGCCTACTTGCCTTTCAAAGTAACAAAGATCTACTGCTTTATAAATATATGGAAAAAGCAATTCCTTAAAAAGAGGGAAATTGGTTAAGAAGTTTAAAAATTATCACATCTTGCTATCTGGACAACTTTCACAAATAAAATATATGCTGAAACCACGTTAAAGTATGACTTTCACCACCAAGAATATCCAAACCTGTGTGCTAATTGTGGGAGCATAAGTCACTTTACTGTTAAATCAACTTTATGTAGCCAGCCCTTGGAGCCATTTTACAAAGACTTAGTATCTCTCCTCTCCAGAGTGAGGCTTGGGGTGATTTTCTATGGAACAAAGTTAATATACCATTCACCCACAGGCAAGGTCTACCCACCTAAAACACTAAAATATTTTTTCTTTGTACATATTTGTTCCCCTTCTCAGAATTCTTCGATGGCTCCCTATTGCCTTTGAATCCCTCAGCTAGGGATTCAAATCTTCCCAATATGGCTTCCACCATACCTTTCCAATCTGGTTGAATTTTATTCTTTTTTATGCCCTCATTCAGTCAAATTAGCCTATTGGCTGCACCCCATACATGACATTCCACCTTCAGTCTACATGCTTTCACACAAATGACCCCACATGTCTAGAATGCTCTGCCTTCTTACCTTTGCCTCACAAGAGTCCCTAGCTTCCTTTAAAGCTCAGCTACCAAGTCTTTGTTTCACCTAAATATGAAGGTTGGAATTAAAGACAATGTCACCACATATTCTAAAACCAACATGTCTTTTTTGGATCTATGCAAAAAATCTCAGCTTTGATCTACGATCATTTGTCTTTTTTTTTTTTAACTACAAAGTTTACAACTAACAATAAAGAAGTTGTCAACCCCAACAGAAAATGTGGTTTCCTCTGTGCCCAAAAGAATAACAAATACATTGATAAATGATACTGGGGTTTACACTATGATCTACTACAACTCTCAAGAAATACTAGTACAAGTAAGTCACCATTAAGATAAATATTTTGCATTGCATGACTGGTAATACCCAGTGTTAATAAGGCCCAAACTAAAAGTCTTTTTGATAATTACAGTGCAGCATACCTTGATAAAATAATTCCTGGGTTAACCCAAGGCTTTCCAGCAATAACACTAAATCTCTTTATGAGATAGACATGCTTAGAGTCAGAGAATGCCACAGCTGGAAAGGATAAAAGAGATAAGTAAGCACATCCCCCTCTCATTTATACAGATGGGGACAATGAGACTGAGAGCTTCAATGACTTCCCCAATATTACAGGGCTAGTTATGGCAAAGCCAGGAAAGTCAAGACCTAAGCTGCTTGACTCCTAGCCCTGACATCTTTCTACTACACACCACACTGCAAAACCTTTCTTACCAACTTAAACAAGTCACTGACAAATTGGTAAAGGTAATATTTCTATCATCAACATACATAATTTCACATGTCAAATCTTTGAGAAATTGTGGAATCACAGAATATGAAAATGAAAAAGGCCTTAGTGACTATCTAAACTAATTCCATCAATTTTTATAAATGAGAAAACTGACAGAGGCAAAGCGACTTGCCCCAAGTCACATGGGTTGTAAGTGAAGAGCTAGTACTTTTGTCTCCAAAGCTGCTGCTCTATAACATGCTGCCTTCTTATGAATGAGATCCACAAATCTGAATTAGACTGAAGCCTCAAAAATGTTAACGACACTTCCGCTACAAAAAAAATTACAATTTAGTGTTAGATTTCACATGAAATTTAGATCTCAGTTCACATGAGGATGCTAACATTTTGAAATTCTAATTTGAGTAAAAAGACTTTTTCCTTTGAAATAATGTGAAGATGAGGTTTTTCCTAGAAGTAGGCAAAAAAGTCAGAAAATAAATATTTGTAATTATGACACCAAACTGACTTTCGACAATGAAATTTGCCTATAAATCCTGACTTGTCTATTCAACTGCCACATAAAATAGTTAAGATTAGATTTGTGTAGCCACTGATATCCTCACATATGTACCACTGAAACAGTAACTCCTATACAAAAGTATGCCTTGCGTTAAGACAATGTAATATAATCAAATTCATAACAAAAAATTGGGATTATCTGCTTTATGAAGGGATGTTTTGATTACTAAAAAACATTAAATAAGTTAATAGAATCACAGAGTTGAAAAGAATCTTTACATGCCTTCCCCCCCCCACCCCGTTTTTACAGATGACGACACCAAGGCTCCAAGGCATGATTTAGCTTGCCTGAAGTTGTACCATAACAAAATAGGGACTAGATGCTCTACCTCTTGACTCTTAGTTCAATCTTCTTTCTACCTATACTCCATTTGAAAAAGAATATGATTCATTTCATTTCAGGAATGCAGGATCAACTTATACAGCCAACTATACCAGCATTCTGAATATTTAAAATTTTTAGCAATAATCATCCCTATAAGTTGAGAGTAAAAGGAGACCCTATTCACCATTTAAATTGTGTGGCTCTGACAATCTTACACTGAAAAAGTCAACTGTCAGCTGCTTGCCCAAAATGACTATGCCACATTCAGAAGCCCTGAAATGATCCTAAATTATTTTCAAGGGAAAGCTTTCTAGAACATATTTAATCATAGTTTTTCCCCTAACAAGCTGTGAAAACTAATATACTTAACCATATAGTTTTATTTTAAATATGAAAGCATATGGCTAGTAATCACTGGACCATTTAAAAATAATATTTGCCATTAAGTCCTTCAGCGTTATCCAAATTAGTAAGTACGGACTAAACAGTTCTGTTGGTTCACTGTTTTACTCTCCCTATTGACTACTGGTCTAAATGATGACCAGCAGTTGCAAATGCACATGCACCAATGTGGATTCCTAAAAGTAATCTAGCCAGAGGAAAAAGCTGCCATTAAAAAGAATACCACTTAGTCTTCAACAAAGTAATTCGATTTTTCATTCAACCCAGAAAACAACTGTGGTTTCCACAATCCACATTTCCATTGTTCTGGAAAGGAGACACAAAAGAGAAAGGAAAGCGAAAGACTCCTTTATAGGAGATTTTCCAAAGCTAGCAGATAGATCATTAGCTATAGTCTTTTCTCTGGTCCATGAGATAAACCTGACTACACTAAAAACAGATGCCTTTTTGCAAAGAAATATATTTGGAAAACTGGCTTGTTAGCAATCTAGTTCAAAAAGAAAGGTGATTTCAGATCTAGATCATTAGCTTTTGTCTTAGAGAAATGTATTCAAGATATTACCTGTTTCCAACACAAAAGAACAAGATCGTGTTCCTTACCCTGACAACTTGCCGTGTGCTTGTAATGAAGGCTTTTCTTACACCCAGTTCAGTTGCATCAAGGTTGAATTTTCGAGGATTTGCTTCAACTATGCGTAGGTCAGCAGTCAAGATAAAGTAACTTAACTGTCCTCAAAACTCCACACAAACTCAACATCTTATTTCTTAACATAAGTAATCTCTCATGTGAATAGTAATATAAATTCAGTGGAATTAAGCTCAAACTTCTTGAAATACAATCAATCTATAACAGTGATTTCCCCAAGTAAGAATTCCTAAACCCCTTAAAAAGAGGGGAGAGCTTAGAAAAGCTGACTTCATGACTAAAATGGAAAGTGATGGTACAGAATCTGGCTAAAAGTGATTGGTCTCCAAGGCCTCTGTTTGGTATTCCAAGAGCCTCTAAATTTAAGAAACAATGAATCTAGAACATAGGAAAAATCTGAGAAATTGCAGAAGACGTGTCTGAAGTGTTACACACTGAACCGTAGAACCAAAGGAACAACACATGCCTTCTACAGCAAGGTAAATAAAATCAACAAAAAGAGTCAACAAAATTCTGGTCAAGTAAGTTGATGTTGGCACAGTGTAAAATTAAAGGACACATCTTTTGCATGAACAATTTTTAAAGCCAGCTGTGTAAAGGAATGTACACTGTAGGAGCACCTGCTGGGAAGTATTTGTTGAGTCAAATTTTTAAAACGAGAATGTCAAGATACTATAGCCTCCTACTAATGAAATAAGCATCAAAATTATAACATGGCATCTTTTAACATTATGTAATTTGGCTGAACAGTCATCTGTTGCATTAAATAGAAAGAAGATAGAAATTAAGGTGATTTTCAGTTTCTTTCATTCCCCTTCTTCAAATATATATGTATATGTATATGTATATGTATATATATCTTCTTTACTTCCTCATTCATTCTCTATTACTAAACTTTTCACTTTGGTCTAGATGCCCAGAGCTAATTGATTCTTCCTATTTTCCAACTTGGCACCACTTTTGATAGTACTGCCTAGCTTGACCCCTTAGAGCAGCCATTACAAGAATGATCTCATTGGCATCCTGGTATCCCAGCATCCCTTGCCCTCTGAATTTTCATTCTACCCACCTTACCAAAAGCAAATACTAGCTAACTCCACCAACCTAATTTTTCTGCTAAGCTTTGCTAGAAAAAAGTGAATCAACTGTGTGAAATGGGTTCCACACGTTAACCGGGTTCACACAGTTAAACCAAATTTCCTCATCATTTCCCTTACCTATAAAATAGGGATAATGTTTGTACTATTCTACATCACAAAGCTATAAGGAAAGTGTTATCTAGATGTAGCCTCTTCTTCAACTCTATATGGGTAGCACAACTACTTAGCAAATGTTTTATTTAACCTTTGCTTACTCCTAACAACCGTTCAAAATCTTTTCTACACCCAAGCTCCCAATCTTACCTCTACCCCCCCAACTTAATAAAACAATCTAAATTTTAGTGATTTTTGTCCCCTTTTCCTTAGCAAGTGATCTTGTCTTATCATTTACTGAGATTAAAACCATCTTAAAGTAGGCACCCTCAGTTTCTCTTTTCTCTACCTTTAAAATCTATCATCAAATGTCCTTCCTTCCTGTCAAGTCAAGAACTCATTTACCTCTGCCTTTGGAACTCTGATCCATCAACCATAATTTATAACTCACATTTTAAATTTCTTATTCTCCTTCCCTTGAGGCTACAAATATGCTAGGGGAGGGGAACAGAATAAGAAGAAACCTAAGCTACTATCCATTTCTATTATTTCCTTTCTTTCTACCACTCACTCTCCTAAATAGCTTCTACTTTTACCATTCATTCTGTGTTCTACAGAAATTGTCCTCTAAAAGATCACCAATGACTTCCTAATCCCTAAATTTAATTACCTTTTCTAGGTCATTATAAATCAGTCAATAAAGACTTATTTTGTCATTGTTCAGTCATAGCCACTCTTTCTGAGCCCATGGACCACAGCACAACAGACCCTTCTATCCTCCACTATCTCTTGAAGTCTGTCCAAGTTCATGTTCACTGTTTCCATGACACTATCTATCCATCTCATTCTCTGCCATCCTCTTCTTCTTTTGTAATCAGTCTTTTCCAACATCAGAGTCTTTTCCAATGAGTCCTGTCTTTGCTGTCCAAGGGACTCTCAAGTCTTCTCCGGCACTACAATTTGAAAGCACTGATTCTGCAGAGCTCAGCTTCTCTTATAGTCCAACTCTCAAAGTATACATTACTACTGAAAAAAACACAGCTTTGACTATACGGACTTTTGCTGGCAAGGTAAGATCTTGGCTTTTTAGTATGCTGTCCAGATTTCCCACAGCTTTCCTTCCAAGGGGCAAGTGTCTTTTAATTTCGTGACCGTAGTCACCACCTGCAGTTATTTTTGAGCCCAAGAACATAAAATCGGACACAGCTTCCACTTCTTCTCCTTCTATTTGCCAGGAGGTGATGGGAGCAGTTGCCGAGACCTTACTTCTTTTGATGTTAAGCTTCAAGCCAGCTTTTACACTCTCCTTTTTCACCCTCATTAAGAGGCTTCTTAATTCCTCTTCATTTTCTGGATTACAGTGGTATCATCTTCTCATCTGAGATTGTTGATATTTTTCCTGGCAACATTTATCAAGCATTTACTATGTGCCAAGCCTTGTGCTAAGGGCTAAGTATACAAAGAAAAGCAAAAACATGTCCCCTGCCCTTAAGGAGCCCACATTCAAATGGAGGAGAATCACAAACACAACTATGTCCATACAAGATAGAAACAGTATAAATAGGAAGTAGTCTCAAAGGAAAGATACTAGTAGTGGTGGGAACCAGGAAAGTCCTCTTTCAGAAGTCTTGAAGGATGCCTGGGAAGCCAGGAGGTAAAGATGAGGAAGAAAAGCATTCCAGGCAGAGAGGGTGACAACCAGAGAAAATGTAGAGCCCAGAGATGGAATACTGTGCTTAAGGATCAGCAAAAAGGCCATGTTACTAAGTGGTAGAGTATGAACTGGGAGTAAAATATAAGACTGGAAAGGTTTTAAAGGGCCAGGTTGTGAAAGGCTTTGAAAATCAAATAAAAGACTATCTGATCCTGAAGGTAACAGGAGGCCACTGGAGTTTACGGAGTAGAGGAGAAACATACTCATACCTGCATTTTATGAAAATCCCTTTGGCAGAGGAGTGGAAGATGGAATGGAGCGGGAAGGGACTTGAGGCAGAGAGATCAATCAGAAAACTACTGCAAACAGTCCAGGTGGAAGTCGATGAGGGCATGCACCATGATGGGGGCTATGTTCATGGAGAGAAAGGGATGTACCCTTTCTATGCCATGCCACTATTGCCTACCATCCCCTCCCTTCTGGATTCTTTCTCCTTCTTTGGCTTGTATGATGCTTCACTATATTGACTCTTCTCCTATAGGAGACTACATCTCCTCAGTTTTTTTTCTGGGTCTTTTCCTCTCCTACTCCTAAGTACAGACATTCTCCAAAGTTTTCTCCTCAAATGTCCTCTCTCTCTACCCTTTATCCTTTTATAATCTCATCTCTTCCTGTGGCTTTAATCATTCTCTCTTTAAATGCCTTAAAACTGTTCAGTCCTCAACAATGTCCAAAAATTCAGTTCTGTGTTTGCAACTGCAGCTTCCCATCTCACCAGGTTTGGCTGCTTCTGCCTCAACATTACCAAAATTAGCTCCTCTTCTCTCTTCTCCCTCTGCTTTCCCCAAACTAGTTCTTCCTCCTATCTACTCTACTGAAGAAGGTGGCTAATAGCACCACCATTCATTCTGGAAGGCACCACGCTTGAAGTCTTGGCATTGTTCATATGCCTTCACTTTCCTATATACCATCAGTCACCAAATCCTGCCAATTCTACCTAAGCTAAAGTCTCGTGAATCTGTCTTCTTTCTACTCCAAATAACAGTACCCTAGCTCATGTAGTTTTTGCCATCTTTACCTCTCACTTATACTCTTCTGAGAGCCTAACTGTCTTTCTATCTACAGTTATTCCAGTTTCCAATGTAAAAGAGTCAGATAAATATTCCTAAAAGGCAGTTCTGTTCACACCACTCTCCTGGTCAAAAACCCTCAAAGCATACTAGGATTGCCACTGATATTACTGTCATAAGGACTAAATGGGGAGTATTTATTGTAAAAGAAAAATAACTGGTTAAGGGCATAGGATTTAAAGTGGACATCAACTGTACTTTTAAATCACTGTACTGCCAACCATATGCCACGTTATTTTAAAAAGTTACATGTATCAGTAGTCACAGAGTAATATGGGATTTCTCTCCCTAGTGGATTTTGTTCATAGTAATAGATGGAAAATGAAGAGAACATGAAGGAAAATGAAGAATTCTTTCTGAACTGTTTAACTGTGATAAGAGTTCTTCATTTACAGTAAATGACTGTGACTACTACTAACCACTTAGCTCACTCGTAAATCATTTTGGATTGTACTATGATCCAAAACAACAGTTAATCATGGGACACGGAAGGAAATCATATTACATACTTCAGAAAATGATTAGAGAAAGATCTATGTATCGGCAAACCACTAGTAAAAGATATTAAAGGATATTGATAGTTTCATCCAGATCTTCTAGGTCCCATTCTATGCTGCGTAAGTTATTTCTGAGCTCATTGGTGGTCCAATCAACTTCTTCTCTTGTTGCTGCAGAAGGATCCTGGAGGAGTTCTGTCCATCTCTGGAATAACCCTTGAGCAGTATTGACTGCTTTCTGTACCTCCCTGCACAAAAAGAAGAAGAAGAAGAAGAGATAAAAGAATGAAACAGACAATGCAAATGTGAAAAAAACACTACTCATTTTCTACTAAAATGAGATAAAAATTTTAAATGGCCACCCTCACCCAGCCTCACATCCAAAAGCATTTTTGAGGCTCCACAGAAAGGATTTCTTATTGACCCTTATTAAATTTGATCCCTTAGTGCTAAAAAAAATTATCATATGCAAATTACCATCTTCAAATTGAAGATGACATTGTGCTAACTCTATCAAGCCTCAAATACTACATACATAGTTCACTAATAAGATTCACAGCCACACAAAGAGATCATTGTAACATTTCAATTTAATTCAAAAAGCATTTATTAAGAGCCTATTATGTACCAAGCACCATAGTAGGCACTGGTGATGCAAAGGCAAAGATTAAATAGCTTCCACCCTTAAGGAACTTCTATTCTACTGGAAGGAAATATCTATACATAAAACATCAAATACAGTCTGCTAAGTGGCTCAGACCTGAGTTAAAATCCGGCCTTATATACTTACTTAGCTGTGTGATTATGGGCAAGTTACTCAACCTTTCTCAGCCTTAGTTTCTTCATCTGTAAAATGGGAATAGTGAAAGCACCTACCTTACAGAGAAGCATTTTACAACTCTTAATGAACAACAGAATCACTACCTATTATTATTATTGTTGTTGTTATTCTGGAGGAGGAGGCACTTGTAAGGCACTCAAGCTGAGTTTTGCAGGAAGCTAGTGATCATATGAGGTAAATAGGATGGGAGGAGGGGGGTACATCCCAAGAATGGGGGACAGTCTATACAAAGACACAGAGATGAAATATCCTATCAGGGAGCAGCAAGCATGAGTTTGGCTAGAAAATAACGTGAAGGAGAGTAACATGTAGTATGTCTGGTAAGGTAGGCTGGAGCCAGATGATCGAGGGCTTCAAATGATCAAAGAATTTGTATTTTATCCTAGACACAGGAGAAATAACTCCAGCTCCATAAGCAGAGGAATGAGGTAGCCAGAGTAAAAGGCTGATTGGAGAGGGGAGAGACCTGGAAGATAGAAGACTATATTAGGAGATTACTGTAATAATCCAAGTGGTGATGAGTAGAGAGAAGGTGATCGATAAAAGAGATGGTGTGTGGACAGAATAAACAAAAATTAACAACTGAGTGAACGTAAGAAGTAATGTAAAGGAAAGAGTTAAGGAAGAATGAGTGAAAAAAAATTAAGCATTTACAATGTGCTAGGCTAAGTACTGAGGATCCAATACTTATTAATAAGCAAGACAGTCCCTAACCTTGAGGAGATAACATTCTAAGGGGGAAAGACAACACACAGAAGTGGGGGAGGAGGGGTGGAGGAGGATATGCTAAAGGACAAAGTGACTGGGGAGTGACTTGGTTCCAGACAAGATAAATGAATAAATAAATAAATGAGCATTCTATTAAGTGATTTCTATAAGCAAAGCATGATGCTAAGTGCTGGGGATACAAATAAAAAAGCAAGACAATCCCTGCTCTCAAGGAACTCACATTCTAAATTAGGAGACAACACATAAAAGTTTAAGTCACAAGTCAGACAGAAAAATTCAAAGTTCTTACAGTGCAGCAGCAAAGCAGATAATAATGCATCTTCTTTGATGTCATTTCCAGTGACAGAATCTTATCAATTTCTGACATTGAACTACTTGAGTGCCAAGACCTTTGGTCTCAAGAACTGGTCTTCAGTAGTTATAGCTGCTGAGGAAGATGGGGTTGTAGCACCCACAGAAGCAGTCGCTAGCTCCCATCTGCACAGGGGTTGCTTCCCCTACTGATGGATGCAAAGACTGAGCTTGAAGCCATTCGTCTGAGCGGTGCTGCTACTCCCAGGGTGCTCAGGCCTACCTGTGTTTTGGTAGCAGTTGGTTAGTGGCTAGTACTGGCAGGGCTGAGAGGCCCCTTTTCCACAGCAATTGCTCCCCTAAATGACAATCTAGACTAGAAGCAAGACCAGTGTTGAAATAGATATTGCTATCCTTATGGCTCTTGGGTTCTGGGTCTGAGGGGAGGTGGTGCTCAAAGTGGTGGCAGTAGTTTGACCTGCCTGGCACAAGCTGCCTCCAATCTCTTCCTGAGGGTGCCCTGAAGCTTCAGCTAAGCTGGTTTGCCAGCCTGGTAGGCATTTGGTAGGGATGGCTGGCATATCAGAAAAAAAAATACCTCAACTATTAGAGAGGTCCCACTTCCACAGGGGTTGCTTCCCCTGATGATGGCTGCAGTGACTGGGCTAGAGGCAGGCCCACTGGTCTGGCAGGTACTCAAAGAGCAGAGTCTAAATTACAACGAGATCGGGATAAAGAGATTCTTCTTGGGGTACAAATCTGTGTTATTTGAAGGATAGTGGCACATTCAACAGAAATGGAGAGCTTAGCAAGAGGCGAGAGTTTTGGAGAAAGATTACGAGTTCAGTTTTGGACATGTTGAGTTTGAGCTGTTTATGGAACAATTATTTGGAGATGACCAACAGGCAGCTGGTGATATGAGAATGGGATTCAGGTGAAAGACTGGGGCTGTATGTATAGATCCGGGAATCACTTCCATAAAGGGGACAGAAGAAGCCATAAGAGTTGAGAAGATCACTAGGAGAGAAGAGAAGAGGGTCCAGGACACATTCATATCCAATACCCAGAGATAGGGGAAAAAAGGAAGAAAGAAAACAAAGAATGACTAAACACTTCTTATGTACCAGACACTGTGCTAAGCACTAGGGATACATATACAAGCAATAAGACAATCCTTGCTCTAAAGGAGCTTACGTCCTAATGGGGGAAGAAAACACACAAAAGGGAACTGAAAAGGGGATGACAAGAAGAAGAGGAGGGTACCCAGCATGAAGGCATGGTGTTTAAGTTCAGAATTCGAGAACAAGGCCAGGAGAAAGAAGGCTAGCTTTGGCCCCTCCACAAAATGGGGACTCCAAAAGGAATTCACCAATGGGAGAAGGACATGGGCCTTGCAGAGGGATATTTTAGTTTGAAAGGGCCAAAGAGGCGGTTGGATATCCCAAAGCTAGGAGGCTGAAGGTATTGAGGGTACTTCCAGGATGACAGCTGCAAAAACATGGTTTTGAAGCCTAGAAGTCAGGAAGAGGTCGAGGGATAAAAGGAAATGTCTGACTTGGAAGATCATGCTTCAACGAAGACTTGTAGATCAGGGATTTTATGAGGTAAAGGTGAAGAGGGAGTAAAGTCAAGATTTGGGGGACTGCCAATTTAAAGCATAAGAATAGAAAAAGAAAAAAAAAGTATGAGGAACAGTAAGGCTAGTTTATCTGGCCTGGAAGATAATATATAAAGAGAAGTAATGTGTAATAAGGCTAGAAATGGAGATTGAAACAAGTTTCTTAAGAGCTTTCTTTAAATGCCAAACAGAGAGCTTATATTTCATCCTAGAACAGGGACTCACTGGAGATTACTGAGAAAGGGAGTGATCAGCAGGGTACTTAAGTAAAATCACTTTAGGAGGAGTGTGGAAGATTCATTAGAATGGGAAAAAATGTAAGGAAAAGAGGTCAATAAGGAGACCATTGCAATAGTCTAGGTGAGAAGTGATGGGGACCTGAACTAGGGTGGTGGTTATGTGAGTGCAGAGAAGCAGACATACATAAGATGATGTGAAGGAAGAATGGTGACATCTGCTTTCATAGGAAGTTAAGGATGATAGTGATGTAACTCTGGGTTAAAATGGTGGTGTCTCTAACATTTGGAAGAGGGGTGGGCTGAGGAGGAGCTAATGAGTTCTATTTTGGACATATGAAGATCACATATTTATAGCTAGAAAGGACCTTTGTTGTTGTTCAGTTGTGTCCAACTCTTCATGTAGAGTCCACCCCATGGACTATTATAGCATGCAGGCCCTTTTATCCTCCACTATCTCCTGAAATCTGTCCAAGTTCATATTTGTTGCTTTCATGACACTATCTATTCATCTCTTTCTCTGCCATCCACGTCTCCTTTTGCATTCAATCTTTCCCAGCATCAGAAGCTTTTCTAATGAGTCCTGTCTTCTCATTTTGTGGCCAAAATATTCAAGTTTCAGCTTCACTATTTGTCCTTTCAATAAGTAGTCTGAATTAATTTCTTTAAGTATTGACTGATTTGATATCCTTGTTGTTCAAGGAACTCTCAAAAGTCTTCTCCAGCATCACAATTTGAATGCACTGATTCAGTGGTGTTCAGCTTTCCTTATAGCCTAACTCTCACAGTCACAGATTACCACCAGAAAAAACACAGCTTTGACTATACAGCTATAAAAACATAGCTTTGACATCAAGGTAATGTCTCTGCTTTTGCATATGCTGTCCAGATTTGCCATAGCTTTCCTTCCAAGGAGTGTCTTCTATTTTCATGTCTTCAGTTACCATCTACAATGATCTCTGAACCCCAAGAAATGATATTTTACACTGCTCTCATTTTGTTTTCCCTCTATTTGCCAGGAAGTAATGGTACCGCATGCAATGATCTTAGGCTTTGTGGGGGTTTTTTTTTGATGTTAAGCTTCAAGCCAGCTTTTACACTCTCCTCTTTCATGTTCATGAAGAGGCTTCCTAATTCTTCTTCACTTTCTGCCACCAGAGTAGTATCATCTGTACATCTGAGACTGTGGATATTTCTCCTGACAACCTTAATTCTAGCTTGTGATTTGTCCAGCCTGGTATTTTACATGCTATACTCTGCATGCTGTTGTGTGTCCTTCATTCTCAAAGAGGACCATGACCACAGGAAAGTGATGTCATGACTTGCAAGTCAATTGGATTTAAGTGAGGCAGGGCTGTGCAAAGTCACCAGCTCCACTCTCTCCTCTGAAGCCACATCTGGGTCCAGTGGCAAGATATAGATCAGGAGACTGGAGATGGCCCTGTATACTCTGCATATAAGTCAAATAAATAAAATAACAATATGCAGCCTTGTGGTACCCCTTTCCCAATCTTAAATCAATCAATTCTTCCA